AGCTGTTGTTCAGCATCTTAGCTGTAGAGGGCAGTGTCACTGGCCCTCATATGTGGGATCTGAACCGGGGCCCTCTGGCATCCCAAGCCAGTTCTTAGCCATCACGCCACTCGGCCGGCCCTTCTTTTCTTTTCTTTTCTTTTTTTTTTCTGTTTACTAAAGCTACTCATGCTCCTTGTAAAAAGGGACCAGCCCATCATTACTAGGAGGCCAAGCTGGTATGAAACGCTGAGGGATCACCCTCTGGTCCAGCAGGTCGGGGTCTATATTCCACCAACACTCCTTGTCCTCAGTTGGCTGTGTAACCTCTGGTAGGTGGGTGCCCTTTCTGTACTCAGCTTGCCCAACTGGGAACTGGAAACTAGGGCCTCCCTGAAAGGCTCAGCAAGTCACAGGGGCTCATCCATGGGCCACGGGCTCATACCCTCTCCTGCAAATGCCCCCACTTCCATCCTTGAGTCTCTGGAAAATTGTCTTGTTCACTGCCTTTCTGTCCTCCATTAGTGCATCAGCTCCATGAGCATAGGGGTTTCTCTCTGTCAAGCTGTCTGTGTGCCCAGAACCGAGATTAAGGTTTGGCACACACCAGATGCTCAGAGCAGTCATGAATGTGCAAGTGATAATGGTGGCTGCTGATGATATTAATATTGTCATTGTTGGCACTTCATACATGAGTGACTTGGAGAAAAGGCCACTGCTTGGTCCTCCAGCCTTTCCCAGGACTCAGGTCATTATGCACACAAAAGAAGTTCTTCCGGATGCTTTTGTCACCCCCACCCCTCACCTCTCCTTTAGGCAGCCCCAGAATGTTCCACGCCCCCATCCAAATCCCAGGGGATGATTGGTGAAAGTATAGGACCAATGGCACGACCACAGTGATGCTGATATTCGGCACCTGCTGGGTACGAACCATGACTTGGTAGCTGACACCATCCAGTTTGTAGGCAAGCATGCTAAGGCCTAGGAGTCCCAGGATGGTGAGTAGCTAGGTCAGGATGTCCTTTCCTGGAGGCCACACAGCTGCTTCAAAGGCATTAGCCCTCTCAATCCTTTCAGCTGCTGGGCGAGGAGAGAACAAACTGTTTTTTCCTGATTTGGAAACTGAGACTCAGCGAGTGGGCCTACCTGGAGCCTGTAGGTTTCTGGAGCTGGAATTGGTTGGGGAATGGGGTGGGTGTGTGTCTAATGGGTCTGGAGAGGGATCCAGGACTCACCCTTTCTGAGCCTCCATTTCCTCATCTGGAAAATGGGAATGTCTTGTGGGGAATCACCTTGAGACCTCCAAGTCAGTATCAGACAGGCCTCCTCATGGTCCTGAAATAGCGCCCGGTAAGGAGAGGGCAGGTCCAGGCCCCGAGGTTGAGAGCAGGTGGGCCTTGCTGCCTGGTGTCCTTCGCATACCTTCTTGTGTCTCAGCCTCTCTGCCTTCCTGGCCTCCCCAGGGACAGTAAAATAACAAGGTGAGGAGGACAGAGTTGCCTGGAGCCACATGTGCCTGAAGCCTTACCAGGCCTTGGCTGTCACCTGGGGGTATAGATAGGGGATGTGTGGCTAGAGCACTGTCATCAGTGGGGGCCCCTAATTAATTCAGTCTGCTGAGTCGTCAGCCCCTTCAATACACCTAGTATCTCATTAATAATCAACAACTTATTAATATTTAGTACTGTGTGTATGCAATGAGTCATGAATATTCAGTGACTGTGTATATCGGTGCCTCAGGACTGTCCAGTGGCTTGTTCATATTCATTGTGATAATATTATTATAATATTCATTTGTGCATCACACAACTATGTCCTGTATTTTATATATATATATATGTGTGTGTGTGTATATATATATACACACACACACACACACATATGTTTTTGGTTGTTTGTTTTTTAGCTGAGCGATCCTGCCACCTGTTGGCAGCTCAGCAGCAGCTCAGCTTGGGCCCATGTGGGAATCGAACCAGCAACCCTGTTGCTCAGAGCTCGCACTTTTTTTTTTTTAAGATTTTATTGGGGAATTGGGGGAGGGGAACAGCGCTGGGGAATCGGGGGAAGGGGAACAGACAAGTGGTTGTCCTTTTGTTCTTCAGTCTAGTTGTGGAGGACGTCGCTTCACTGGCCCATGTTGGTATTATCATTGGGCTCTTCCCGGGTGAGGCAGATAGGTCGCCGGCCTCTGGACGGCCGCTCACAAAGGCTCTTGGCAGCTCACACCGACTGCCAGCCGCTCACACTGGCTGCCAGCCACACACGGTAGCTTATGGCAGCCCACTGCAGCAGGGGCTGCAGCCTACGCCGTTGCCTGCGACTCATGGCAGTCCAGCTCCAGGTCGAGCTGTTGTTCAGCATCTTAGCTGTAGAGGGCAGTGTCACTGGCCCTAATGTGGGATCCGAACCGGGGCCCTGCTGCTCAGAGCTGGCGTCTCAAGCCAGCTCTTAACCAATGCACCACTCAGCCAGCCCAGAGCTCGCACTCTTGAGCGAGCTCTTAACCA